CAATTTCCTTTATATATTTCTTGAACTATTGAAATGTCTTGCTTTGATTTCCTTTAAGTTTTACATTTGCACTTATCTATGCATTTGCTGTGTTTCCCAATAGCTGTGTAAAATCATTTCTGAAAAAAATCTATGAACTCAATAAGTAAGTGATACCCTCAGGTAGCTAGCTGCCCAAGCTGCTAATCATAGAATGCCGTTCAGAAAACCAAATTTATATTTCTAAGACTTGCTGAAATATTAAAGAACACAGGATATGGCCATCTGCATGGCACATGTGCCCTGAAAACTGTGGATAATAATGTATAGACAACACATTTTAATAAACTATTTAATTGTCATGTTAACATTTTCAACTCCTACATAATATTCAAACATTCACAAAGCACCGTTGTGCCATGTCTCTTGTAATGAGAATATGTATTAATGACATATATGTTTATCATATATGTAATATGTGTATACATAGATATGTACATGTTTTTGTTTTATATATATATATGAAATTAATAAAATAGGATTCTGTCATCTACTACTTTTTAGAAGCATTTTTTATATTCCAACTCTATTTTGCTTGTATGCATCTAGGATAGGCTACTCATTAGAGCCTTTTAGTCTTACCAGACTTTCCCTATGAGCACAGAATGCCTTATCTTCTTTTTTTCCTACCTCTTTCTATTATATTAGTTCAAATACCTTGAACCCTAGCCCCTATCTGAATAGGTCCACTATCTGAGGGGTAGTTCATTGATATATAACATATGTATCCCTTTTATTATTGCATTTTACATGTGGATGTCTATGTGTACACGTTTGCTCATCCTAATAGGGAAATGAATAGGGGCAATTTGTTCTAAGTTGTTTGCCCTAAATGTACAGCTATGGAAGGGAGCAAAACTCACTAGCCTACACAAATGCCGAACCGATAACTTGGCACACTGCCTGACTCTTTTGTCATCAACAATCAAAGCACCACATTTCCAAAGTTGAGTGAAAAGCCTTGAATCTAATTTTAATGATAACTGTGAATAGAAACAGCACCATAAATGAAATGGGATGCTGAAATCCACTATTTTACTCATTCTTTCCATTTAATTCTCAAGGACCTAAATTCTCCTTTAAAGAAGAGTTTAAAATTCTATTTAGTGATTATTTTTAACCTTTATATGATACCATTATAGGAATGATGAGTTTTATTTTCTATTTCACAGCTTGGCAATTGTATCTGTTTTATTTTCCATTCAAAGACATGAACTAATAGAATTTTTTGTAGAATAACTTCTACCAGTAATTTCAATAAATAAGTATATATAGGCACATAAATTGTATTGGGGACAATTATGTATGGCACTTCTAAATATGTTCAAATCCTAAAATTATAGGTATTGAAATTGAATTAACTTTTCCTCATTTGCATTATCTGATGTATCTTTAAATTGGAAACATAAACAAATGCATAGTAAGAACTTTTACATGTAGTTTAATTACAATGTTTATTGGACTTTATCACCAAATATATTTTTTAAAGGCAATCAAAGAAATATAATGTAGGGTTCATTTTAAATGACTAAATATTTAAAATTATACCTATCCATAAATGTGATTTTTAAAAGATACCTGTCTGTGGTGAAGAAGCAAAACATTAATTGATGATGATATATGAAGGCACCACAGCACTTTTTGTTGCCTTTTACGAGTTTTGAAAACATTTGGACACCTGGAGAAAATTATAGGTCTTTTTCATAGTTAGGGTCTTTGAATTTGCAAGTTTGTCTTTAGATTTGCAAATATTGCATTGTAAGAAGTAAAATCCTCCAAACCATCCATTCCAATAAAATGCTGTCATATAGTATTTATTTCTAGAAACTTATTCTTAAATAAGACTGTGAAAATTTGAAAAGGTTGAGAGTCAGAGAATATCGTGCTTTTTTTTTTCTCTTTGATTAAAAATAATCCTTTTCTTATTACAGTTGCCATTCCTTATACCAAATCATCAGAGTGGTTTTATTTACATCTTGGCTTCTGAGACTTAAGTGTCTGATTAGTTCTTTTTTTTATTATTTATATAGAGAATACTTCAAACTTTTTGACAAAGTAAATGCATATTATTAAACAAGCATGAAGAAAACTGTCAACCTGCCTTTACATAATAATAATTAAAAAATCTAAAAGAAAATAATGCCATTGTGTAGTAAAAATGCAGTTGAATGTTAGACAAACTGTCATATTATCAGTTGAAAGGGTCAACAATTTTATTCTGTTTTTCTTTTGAATAACTTTCATATGCAATCACTGATTTAAGTCTCAAAGTTTCATAATGTATAGACATACTGCTTATTTTGTTGAAACCTTCCCTTCAATTGAAAAAGTTATTAAAAAGAAAAAAATGGTTTTAGTAATAGTGAGTTGATATTAAAAAAAAATCAATGTTATAACAAATTGTCCTTTTAAGGACATATTGACAGGGCTGGCAGAACTGATAAAGCAGGGAACATTGTTTGCAGTACCCTTTATAATCTTTTGTTGTAAAACTCTTGTTTCCTTAGCTTCCAGCCCACTCACTCATTGATCTCAATATCTTCAATATTGCGGTATGTGATCTGAGCTTTCCCTGGATCTCCTATTCCTTCCATACAATACATATCAAATTTCATTGCCCTTGCCTGTAGTAATGTCAAAATTTTGCTCTATAATGAATCTAGTCCCATAGTATGTACTGCCTCCGTGAGTGTAGAAATGATGGGCACACTGTCTTCAAAATTTTCAGGCAACCTACTGTTCAAGACTTTTTTTTGCCTTTTGATTTGGTTTGATTTTTTTAGTTGAACCCCAAGGCACAGTTTTCTTAACACCAAAGATTTTGATTAAATAATTTGAGTTTGCTTTATTAGATATCTGGGAATAAGTTATTGTTATTTAATTTTAAAATTTCATCATTTAAAAATCAAATCTTAGCTATATAAGAATGGAGAAGATTTTATAAGGGAGAACAATGTCTTTTGGAACAGAGATTATATTAAAGATATATAAATTGGCTTGGTAGCCTTTTACTTAAGTAACATTTGCAATGAACCCATCTACTAATGGTCTCTCAGTACTGCATGTGCTATTTAAGCCATCTCCTCTCACTTCATTCTCATTTCTCTTTGACCTTCAGAAAGTCAAAGTTTTCTTTCAAAGCTGCCTGTAAGGAGGGTTATAAATACCTACTGAATGAAATAGGATGCTGAAACCTACTACTGTTATACTTTGTGCTTTAAGTATATTCTTTGTTTGTTTTTTAATTTTATTAAATTTATTGGGGTGACATTGGTTAATAAAATTATGTAGGTTTCAAGTGTTTCATTCTATACTACATCATCTATATATTGTATTGTGTGTTCACCACTCAAAGTCAAATCCCCATCTGTCACCATATATTGGACCCCCTTTATCCTTTTCTATCTTCCTCTAACCCCCCTATAGTTGGTAATCACTATACTGTTGTCTGTGTCTATGAGTTTTTGTTTGTTTGTCTTGCCTGTTCATTTATTGGTTTCAGTTTTATATCCCTCATGAGTGAAATCATGTGGTCCTTGACTTTTTATGTCTGACTGAAAAAGTTGGTATATTTCTTTAATCATAATTGCATTTTTCTCTAAATCAGAGGTTGCAAATTACTGCTGTTGTTGTGCCACTGGATGTATTTTGTTTGTCCCATTTAATTCATAGTTTAATTCTCTAAAATCTGTTGCAAACCTTAGAAACAAGAGACTTCTTATAAAATTAGAATATTAGACGACCTAGTAACATTGGCTCCACATTTCATATGCTGGGGTTGAGTAGCAGCTGCCACTTCAGAGAAGGCACATGCTACCATTTGCATCAGGTTTGTTTCACTTATTTACATGATCTCTGTAGACATTTGAGTTTGTAGCTGCTGAAAATAGAAGGAAATGAGACAACTCCTCTTTATTTTTATTTCTCCATAAAGGGAATCCCATTTCAAAACTATCAAAGCATATTTCAGAACAAAATTTAAAGGCCCCTGCACTGTGGAGGCACAGAGCTTATATCCATTGACAAAATATAATTTATTCATTTTAATGTAATGATTAAGGATGTAAAGTATAAAATGTAAGCGCAACAAAAAGGGCACCATATTCTTATGCGGGCTCAGAAAGTGTTATATCAGAGATGGTTCAGGATAAGGTGATACCTAATTAAGTTGAAATGTAAGTAAGTAGTAGGATTCCAGCTAAAGCTTGCAGACTGGAGACTCTGGATGTAGGAATACATTGTGCAAAGAGCTATAGGTAAGCAAAAATAACTGTGATTCTCTGGTGGAGATCAATAAGAAATAAAGCTAAATACCAAATCATGGTCGTATAGGCCACATTGAGTTTTATTGTTGTTTATTCCAAATGGAAATATATGACCATGTCGCCAACTCCTGTCACATGATGGCTTTCTACTCAACCAGTATTACAAGCACTAAAGAAACTCTCAGCTTTTGCTTTTCTCTGGTAGACAAGGCATCTGTTTTCTTCAAATCTCTTCCTTAATTTTGCCAATTACATGCAATTACAACATGGATTTCATTGATCTCTCTGAATTTTTTTTTAATTTTAAAATAAAGTAACTCACTTCCTCATACAATTTAAATTCTAGCTTGTAGATAACTTAATGCCTGAAAGTTTTTTAAGGAGGAACAAAAAAATGCATTTTCTCCACAGGGGCTAAGATGCCTGGGGTCATAATTGGTAGAAATGTGCTTCACTCTGAATCAGGGCCTTCTATATCTTTAACCCAAAGCTGGAACCACGATGCTGGAAATTTCAGACTTTATAAAAACTTCTGTATAAGGTTTGTGAATGTTCTTTTGAATCACATTAGGTCTGTGGTTGTGAGCAGCTGCCTATTCTCTTTTGTGTAATAAACGAATGGTTTTTGGTCTGTAACAATTCTGGTGTGCTACTGATTAAATGAAATTAATGGTTGTCCTTTTATTTTATTTTCAGCTCACTCCAGTTGGTACCACGATATTTACAGGATTTGCAGGAGACAATGGAGCTACAGACATAGATGACGGCCCAAATGGACAGATAGAATATGCTATTCAATATAATCCAGAAGATCCGGTATGTAAATACTTACTTGCAATGTGACTTCACTATGAGGAATATAATTAATGTTGACTTCAGATGACATTTATTGCATTATTCTATTATTCAGCTCTTGAACCACATTAGTAATCACAGTGTAATGACACATTATCTCAAAATTGCATTCTTTTAAATATGGATGCTGTACTTTAAAAAGCTAATTTTTGGTGGAATTTGTAGATAAGTTTTTGAAATGTATTTTAAATATAATATACAATTTTTGCTAAATTTCTATTATGTTTGCGGACTCCTAAGAATTCTAAGTAATTCACTGGACATGATATAACCAATATGATGCATATGCTTTATGGAACTCACAAATTAATACCACCACTGCCACTGCTTCATCAATGAAACCTAAGGTAGAGGAGGACAGAGACTCTAGGTTTTTTTTTGTCTTTTTGGAGGGGCTGTTAAATTATTTATTTTAATGGTATAGTATATTTAATATAGATAAAATCAGAATTGTTTTGTTGAAGCTAGAGCTTGCATCTTTCCCCTAAGGGGAAAGATTTTGTTTCCTAAGGCAGCTTCTCAGAATGTTACAGGCTCCACAAAACATAGTTTTGAAATCACTTCTTAAGTAAGTTTTCTAAATTAATGCTCACAGTAGCCCATGCGGGGATCGAATCAGCATAATTTAGCTCTGCTTAGGCTCTCACTAGATTGCAACCTGGGTGTTGAACAGATTAGTTCTCCTGTGGAAGCTTGACTAGAGAAGAATTCCCTTGCAAGTAAACTCAGATTGCTGTCAGAATTCATTTCTTTATTGGTGTAAGCCAGAGGGCCTTGTTTCTTACTATCCGTTGGCTGGAAGTTGCTCTCAACTCTTACAGATCACCCGTAGTTCCTTTTAGCTGCTTACTTCATCAAGCTTGCAAGGAGAGAATCCAGTTCTGGTCTGTTGGCAAGATGGAGCCTTATATAACATAATGTACTCACAAGAGTGCCAGTTTATCATCTATGCCATATTCTATTGGTTAGAAGAAAGTCTGAGGTCCTGCCCACAGTCACGGGGAAGGGACTACTAAAGTCACTCATCAGGAAGTGGGGATAGAGAAGGTTCCCTTAAGAATCTGTCTGTCATACTAACTATAATGTTCAGCATGATTATCATCATTTTTGAATATCATATAAATCTAATTAAAAAATTATTGTTGAGTCTTTTTTTTTTTTTTTTACAAACTTATGCAACAGAGGGAAGGTTGTATTTTGGTCTTAATAGAGGGTAAATTGAGATGGTCATTTGAATTATTATGATTGTTTCAACCTACCTATATTTTATTTATGATATGGATGGATAATTATACTAGGAGATGTGAAATGAGAAAAAGTGAGCAATTTTGCTATCCCAAATCATAAAATTTCAATTATAGCCAAATGTTGCAAACTTTTACCAAAACAAGGCATTTTTATTTTATCTAGGAACAAAATCAGAATAGTTAAAATTGAGCTTTTTTTTCTTTGCCATTCTTTTTCTTGTATTTTATCTAAAATGAGGAAGGAACAAGTCTGGGAATAAAGACCTACTGAAATAATTGACCAAATTTAAGGCAAAAACATTTGTGCTGTTTCCCAAAATTTCTGATTCTTGCTGTCTTTGGAAACATGCCAGGGGTGTACTTCTTTTCTTTCTTTCTTTTTTTTCTTGCTTGAAGGAAATTACATTTTCTGGCTAATGAAATGTAAGCTCAAAGAACCAAGTATAATTCACCATTTCCCCTCCCACTGCTGCAGTGATTGGCGAAAAAAACATGTTGAGGTGAAACAGCTATTAGCCTGAGTCCCAGAGTGACAACATCAACAGAGCCCACTTGCTAAAATGTTAGTGCAGATATACAGAGTGAGTAAGAAATAAAAAGTTCTTATGTTAAGCCATTAATTTGGGGGTTTTGTTCCTGCATCATAACCTATCCTTTCTTGACTGATATATTCAGACAAAAATAATTTAGTAAATGCCTCAATATTAATGTCTTCTAGACAGTGAACTAGAGGAATTTAAACTACAATGGTCACAGTTATTGTGAAATGCTATTTTTTGTGCCTTTTATGGTAATGAAAACACCATCCATAATACAATTATCTAATTAGATTGTTTAAAAATAAACAAGAAGAACAACTGTTTAAAATGGGTCAGAATTTGTCATCATATGCTCTACAGCAATTTTAATTTTGGGGAGTTTATCTTACGAAAACCCAATTATAATAGGTATCATCCTGATGTTTAAATCCTATTGTTAAGTCAGATTGATAAAACTATTCATACAATAGGTTATCTAGTCATCTTTAGTATCTAACTTCTTTAATGTCACACTGAAGTGATGTTTATTCAGCACTTCAAGTATTGTGGCCTGACATGTTAAGGAGGAAACTGATGACATATCCCTTAAAGCAGTCTCCAGTGGATGAAGTAAGCAGTATAGCATTTCTATTAACTACCACTGTCACTTAGAAAAGCATTGAGGGTATTGAAGCAGCATGTGTAGGCAGCTTCTTTCTTGGAAGTATTAGAATGGTGTTTCAGTGTGTGGTGACATCTTTAATAATTCCCTCCTAAGTAGATTGCCCTTCTTTTGTAATATACTGGGCTCCTTATAGTTTTGAGAAAACTGAGAGAAAAATGAGCCATAATTTATTTTGTAATGTGTAAGCATGTAATACAATTGAGTTTCCTGAGTCAGGAAGTTAAAACCACAGTTTAAATACAAAAGTTGTCTAACAAATCATCGTCATGAAATAGTTTTGTATATAAATCAAAGTCCCCATTATAATATTTTGGGCTAAGCAAAAATGGTATTGCTTACTTTTAAATAGGTTACTAAGAACCTTATTTTATACTTTAATAATGTTTTAACAGATTGCATTCTATCACAGCAATCTAATGACTCAATTAAGTCATATTATTCTTACTTCACAATGAACATTCTTGTTTAAGCCATTGTCTAGAGTCCTTCCTTGTGTAAAACTTTGAACCCAGATCTTTTCTCTCCAAGTCTGAAATTTTAACTTCACAGCACGCAATGCCTCTGAAGCCAACCAGAATCTTCTAAATACAATTTCCTAGGGGATTGGTTAGAACAAGGTACAATGAACGGCATTGCAATCTTTAATGTATTATTAAATATGCATATACATGTTTGTGTGTATTTATGTAGGGATAAGTTTGTATGAAACAGAGAAACAGGGTGTTGGTATTCTATGAGGAGCAAATTAATGTTGCCGCTCAAATCCCGGTCACTTTTGAGTACACTGGGCCTCATAATCTTGCTTAATCTTCCATTTTCCCTTCAAGTAGTTAGATTAGGGAAGTCAACCAACCAATAGATGGATCAGCAGCTAATGGTTTGGTGGCCTGATTTCATCAGTGACAAGCTTAAAGCTGAATATAGACTGATTAGGACAGAGTCAGTGCTGTTGCCTGGAACTAAGAGGTAAAGTTACAGTAACATTCAGGGTGAACAAATGGGGAAAGCTGAGAGAGAGAGAGAGAGAGAGAGAGAGAGAGAGAGAGAGAGAGAGAGAGAGAGAGAGAGAGTCCAAAAAGATATATAAAAACAATTATAAGAGAAATTACAGCCTCTGAGAGACAGAGAGAGACAGAAGATCTCCTAGTTACCTAAATTCCCACCATTTCCTACCAACACAGTTATAGACCCAGGGAAGTATATTTGGACATTGGCTCTGTCCTTAGATCACCAGCACCTGACATCAAATCAGTTGGCTAATCTAATACATCTAACTTCAAAATAAAGAAAAAGAAAGTACAATAATTATCTACCTTAAAAATAATTTTTAGAAACGTATTGTTCAGTTGATGTTATCAGCAAATTCCAAAATTCTTTAATATGCTTAACTTGGTCCTCTCCATTTCATAGTCCAGTGTTTCTCAAAGTATAACCTGAACCATCTGCATCAGAATCATCTGAGAGTTTCACAGGAATTGTAGCCTTCTGAGAATTTTTTGAATTTTTGGAAGATGCTGGGAGTTTGCAAACTAAATGATACATTTCTGTGATTCGTATATACTCTAAACTTTGAAAATGATCATCCCATTCCATTATGGCCTTATTATATTGGGTTGTCGGAAAAGTCATGACGCATTTTTGCAACAAAAAACATAAAAAAAATATGTCATGACTTTTCCAACAACCCAATATAATATTAAAAACAAAACAAAGCAAAACAAAAAAAAACACTTTTTTTGCTATTTTTTCTATTTCTTCCTCCTTAGGTTAAGCTCCAGAAATATTACTACAGCAGGACATTTACTTCAAGTTGTTCAAATCCAATATTATACTCATATTTACTAGAAGAAAAAAAAATAATACCCTTGAGATATTTCCACATGTGCTTCTAAATCTTATGATTATTATTCCAGTTATTTAGATAGAAGGGATACTTGATAAATACTTATTTAATTAAAAATGTTAGTTAATTTTAACACAAAGGCATTCTTTGTCTAATAATTCATAAACAATATTGATTATAAAGAACATATTCTCTATATGTTTCTTGAAACACAAGTGTTTTATTCAACACCTAGCAAAATGAAAATCTCAGATATCTATAAAAGATAGGCTTAGCTAATAAGAAGTTTAATTATAAAGGGTTCTTAAGAACAATAAAGTTCCTAATAACTATGTTATTTATAACAATTCTATGAATGTCCATTGAAAATTGTCAACTAAAAAAACATACATTAAGTTGCTTTGCTAGAGACATAAAGATAAGTATCTCCATATCACAGATGGCGTTTCTTGAGAAATCTGTGAGGGGGAAATGAAAATACATAGATAACAAGGGTTTAGAAAAAATAATATAATATCAGATGAAAAACTTAATAATTCTAAATTGGATGATGAAGGTTTCACTGAGTGGGACTTTCAAGGTTTATTAAGAGAAATGAGGGATAGGATGTTTAGGCAGGAGATAATAAGAATAAATATCAGGCCTGAAGAATCATGACATATGTGGAAAAGACAGGACAACAGGATGATGTATAAATAAGAGGTAATCATGTATCAAAGTGCTCGTAGCTGCAAATAATAGAAAACTAAATTTAAAATGGCTTAGCCAACAAGATCATTTATTATCTCTCATAATAATTTGATCAGAGATGCGGTGGCATCAGGATTTGTTCAGCAACTCAGAGACAACAAGATCCAAGCTCTTTGCATTTTTTTGCTCTGTTACCTCAGCATATTATTTACTTCTAGATTAACGCCATCAATAGTGCCCAAATGACTGCTGAAGCTCCAGGTTTATGTCCTTAAAGCAGTATCTATAAGCAGAAAAGGAAACAATATTTTTTCCTTCTCTCTCTCTCTCTTTACTATTAAGAAAAATTATTCTTGTTTCCTAGAATTAAATTTTATGTATGTTTCTGAAACAATCACAGCTAAAAGAGTGGAATTACCATGATTGGGTTAGATTAGTCAATAGTCATCCCAGTTAGGGGCAGAGCATCCCCTAAAGCACAAAGCCACCAGTTAACTTGTTTAGAGTTCTGAGTCCAGGGATGAAGTATCTGATTGGTAAGCAATTCAAAGTATCTTCCAGATAGATGAGAGAAATTTGTATATGTCTCTATAGTTGAGTCTCTAAATATTAACAACCCCATAACATGTTGAGTTGTGCTTTACTGTGTAAATGTCAATTACTAAATAAATTTTCCATATAATTAACTTAGATATTTATATTTAACCATTTTGTACTCCCCTGGTATAATCAAGAGTCCCACTCAAAGATATGAGCAATGTTTAAGTAGGCAAAACTTTAGGGAAAATGTCAATTGCCTATTTTTAACTGTAAATGTTCTTCATGATATGTTTTCTGTATTTAAAATTACTTTTTAAGTGACTATATCCCAGAAAGATCTGCAAAGCCAATTACATTCACACAAGCTAAATTAGAAAAATAAATCAAAGTGTGCTCTGTGTGTGTGCAAGTGTACCAGAAAGAGAGGGGGTCAGGAAGGGAGGGAGAGAAAGCGGAAGAGGGAGAGATCAAAACACTTCTTGACATTCAAGGTTAATTTGTCCACATGTTCCTGAATGAACTTGAGACGGGAGATTTGAGAAGCCATTCTCTTATTAAGTCTTTGTTCCTAAGTGACTCCCCTTGTGTCAGCTGAGTGTGTGTGTACACATACTCACACACACACACACACACACACACACACACATATCCCTTCCTTCCTCCCTTCCTTCCTCCCTTCCTTCCTTCCTTCCTTCCTTCCTTCCTTCCTTCCTTCCTTCCTTCCTTCCTTCCTTCCTTTCACCTTTCTCCTCCTTCTTTTCTTCCCCCCTTCTCCCCTCTACGTCTCTTCCTTCTTCTTCTCCTCCTGAAACAACCTAATACAGATCCAAGCTAAGTATTTTTTCTGGTGCCCTCAACCACATGCACAATCACAACTACATAAAGCAACCAACCAAACAAAAAGTTCCAGTTCTGGAAGTAGAAATTATTTGTTGTGGTATTCAGAGTATATTTTATCAGTCTTCAAAATGGCACTAAAATACAAGAGTAATATAAGGTCTTTTTAAGGATGAGAGACTGATGTTACAAATTATGTTCTCTTGAAGTGTGGATACATTGTCTGACACTGAGGGCTGCTTATACAGAGCAGTAGTGCTGGAAGGCACGCTATAGATTGCCCTTAGAACCTGCACGTTACCAGGAAGACATTCAATCCCTGAGGGGGTAGGAGATTTAACTAGCGAGCAGCAGTTCTGAGGCCCGAAAAAAAAATAACCTATAACTTAAATTCTGTTCACAAAAACACAGTGTTTCAAGTTAATAGTTGTATTTAATTCTTGAAAATGCAGAGAATACGGAACAGGCACCAATGTTCAAAAGGAGTAGTATGTAGAAATCACAAATTGGAGTGTACATACCCTTTAGTGATAAAACAAATGGTGAAAAAATAATATGATAACAGGGAACATTTTCAGATACCTGGACTTTGATTTAGAAGTATCCGACGGCTGTTGATGTGTAACTGATGATATACAAGCAGCTATCACAGGGAGCAAGTTTCCTAGTTATCATTTTTAAAGGACTCCAATGAAACCATTGATGAAAATGACAAGTTTTTAGAAGAATGTTAAATCCGAAGCATGCACTCACTTTCTTTTTACAGATGATAAGCATGCTATCTGTAATTTTCAAGGGGATGAAACTGCAGTATTGAATTCTCTAATTCATCTTATATTCAAATGATCTCAAATTTGTACCTTTACCTATTTGCAGACATCCAACGACACCTTTGAAATACCCCTCATGTTGACTGGAGATGTAGTGTTAAGGAAGAGGCTCAACTATGAAGATAAGACTCAATACTTTGTCATCATCCAAGCTAATGTGAGTATTTCATTTTTCTTACTTTCCTCCTGTGAACCTAGGAAGTGAAGAACTAGACTGAAATGTATAAGCACTCTATCCTTAAACTCTGCCCTTCCTTTGAAATTTGGTTATTTTTCCAGTGCCTTATCTACCATGTGCTAGTGAATACTATAGGCATAAGCAATACAACTGTATTTCAAGTTCGAGTATAAGCAAGCGGAAAGGTGATAAATCTAGGGCTCTTTTTGTGTTTGTTTATTCTGTTTCCAATTATCTGAGAGGAAACTTTCTCTGTGTCCTTTCTCTCCCAACTTCCACTTACAGAACTAGATCACATGAGTCAGCATAGCAGAAAGGAAAGTGGAGGAAGTTTGTATGTGGTAAAGGGGCATAAGATAATAATCTCTGGATGACAGTAAGTATGGTTCATCTGCTGGGGCTGGGCAGATAGACTTCTGGAAAAAAAAAAAGCATTTGTTGGTAAGGGGAAGAAGGGGGCTGATACTTTGACATTCTTAGGAAAATAAATAAATAAATAAAAGTAACAGGGCATGCCACAGACAGCTTCTAATATTGAAAAGTCCCATAGCCAGTGGCAGGACCATGTTCTGAAAAGGTAGTTAGGCTCTGAAGCCAGCCTGTATCTTTAATGACTCCTATGCATTGAAATCTTACTCATGTAGCAGAATAGAAAGACAGTAGGGGGTGTGGCAAAAGGAAAGTATCCTCCATCAGCTATTCTGAACAAGTTTATAGTGGACCATCCTTATCTGTGGTTTATTTTTGTCCCGTATCAGTTACGCTTGGTCAACCATAGTCTGAAAATATTAAATGAAAAATTCCAGAAATAAACAATTCAATACATAATCCATACGGTTTAAATGGCATGCCTTTCTGAGTAGTGTGATGAAATCTTGTGCTGACATTCATCATCCTGCACAGGAAGTGAATCATCCCTTTGTCCGGTGTGTCCATAGTGTCTATTCTACCTGCTATTTGTTAGCCACTTAGTAGCCTCATTGTGGCGGCGTTCACGGGCTTATGTTCAAGTAAACCTTTTTTGTTTTTTACCTCATAATGGCCCAAAGTCATTCACATAACTTTTATTACAGCATATTGCTGTAATTATTCTATTTGATCATTAGTTACTATTGCTGATCTCTTACTGTGCCTAACTTATAAATTAAACTTTATCATTGATATGTATATGGAGGGAAAAAAAAACACAGTATATATACAGTTTGGAACTATCCATGGTTTTAGGCATCCACTGGGGATCTTGGAGAGTATCCCACAGATAAGGGGTGTCAAGAAACAAAATTCAACCAAGTAAATTTGAAGATCCAATTGTTTTTTAAGCAATTCATAAATCTGGCAACATCCCATCCAGCAAGTAGAAGGTTGCTTGGAGGGGTTGCATAAAATGGAAGGTTTTTATAGAAAGAAGGGTAGAGCAGAGGACTTATTAACAATAGAAATAAATAATTACTTTTAGGCCAGGACATCCTCATTTTGGGGGGAAGGTAAGGCTAGGGTTTTATCATGAAAATTGCCTCTTCTTCCTTTGGGGAATGAAGGGGATCATGTGACAGATTACCTTACCAGTGCTTGACCAGAAAATTCCAAATTGGTTGATTAAGGTTACGTTTCTGGGAAAGGTCAAAACTGCACTTAGGTCAGGTATTAAACCCAGGTTTGGTAGCATGGGCTTTAGCGCAAGTGACACAATTTGGTGCCTGTGATTTTCTTTTTAACAGAGGGAATTGTTGTAGATACAACGTTTTCATTAAGTGTTTTTGTTTGTTTGTTTGTTTGCTTAACATTCTTAGATATATTTCACCAGAAAGAGGATATAGGGGATAGATAGATAGATAGATAGATAGATAGATAGATAGATAGATAGATAGATAGATATAGACATAGATATAGATATAGATGTGTGTGTGTATGTGTGTGTGTGTGTGTGTGTGTATTTGGGTAGATATTGATAGAAATTTAATTTTTGAAGCCAAATTTCTTAACTTTCATTCAAAATTCATAAGGTTTTTGTTTTGTTTTACATTCAATTCGGTGTGGGCTGTTTTGATGTCCAGTGAAAAAGCTAGAAAAAAATTCTGGATATAAGAAAAAGTAAAATGTATAAAATGGACACTCTCAGAACTCCTCAAAAACATTGAAATATTTTTTAAAAAATATTTTCTATTAAGTGAGAATGCAAACAAAAGATACACTTTCTTTTGTCTGATTCAGAATCTCTAATAAAATTTACAAAAAAGTCAGATTGCAATGGCATGTATCTGAAAGCTAATTTTTATTATGCTGTTCAAAATGAGGTATTAAAAAAAAAGAAATACAGGCTAACAGAAATCTGAACAGCTCTCTAATTTTAAATATTTATAAAGACATCTGGAGCAATTTGTATCCAATTCGCTAAACTAACTATGGTTAGAGTGATCAGTTTTTAGCATGTCAGGGATAAAATTATGAAACAGAAGGATATACATGAATCATTGAAAGGGATGAAGAGAATGGACAAGAAGTTGAAAGATTTGTATTTATCTGTAAAAATGATTTTTATATAAATTTAAATCACACAGTACAAAATGTGAAAGTTAAACATAGGAGAGTATAAGTTGTGGTGTTTTTAAAAGTTTTCAGAATTATAGTCTTTTAAAAGTTGTAGGATCTACTGAAATTAGGATGTATAACAAATATTCATCTATGCTTAAGTTTTATTTGATTTTGTTTTTTGGCATGGAAGAGATAGTTGCCCACATGGGACTCATGAGAGGCAATGAGTGAAGTAGAGTGGCAAAAACCTGAGCTCTAGAACCACATGGCTTGAATTAATATTCCAGTTCAGCCATTTAGTTGTCTGACTAGTTGTCTGACTTTGGGCATACTCTGTATGTCAGTTTCCTAGCTGGTAAAATGGGGATATCAATGAAACACACCATATAGGGTCCTTGTGAGAATTAGCAAGTTAGCCAACAAAAATGTAGTTAGACTAATGCTTAAAGTATATTCTGATATCATTACAGTATTACATGAACTACTTAAGTACCAGTATTTTATTGTTTAAAAATGGACAATTAAAAATCAATTTATTATGAAAAAAATTACATATATATTATATATACTGTTAATCTTAGTAGATAATGCCATATTATTTTCAAAATATTACAACGTATCACATTCCCACAAATTATAAAGAAGAATGTCCATTGTCTCTACATTTTAGATACATAACTTACTTAAGACAGTGGGTTATTCGAGCTGGAATACTGTCTCATATTTCCTTGAGGGTCAATGTAGGTATCTCTTCCCAACTCTTTGTTCAGTGACCTTACATTTGTGGCTATGGTGGGAGTATTTACATAGTGGAAAGTGACAAGCTCTACAAATCAGGGTTCCTTGTCTCAGAGAGCTGGTTGTCAAAACATTCAGTGCTTTGTATATATATAATTTAATCTTTATGTTTACATGGGACAATGATATCAAATATCTAAAATACCTTTCTAATCATACTTTTATAGTATTCTTTTTTATTGTTTTATTGATAGTATGTAAACCAGTGTGCAATGTAAACCATGTACATCAAAAACCTACATATTCTCTTAGAGTTAAAGGAGAGTTGAAATATGAGCAGTTTTAACTTTCAAGTTGATGTTATCTAAGAGGCTAGAGGTCTGATGATAATTACTAAACATTTCTCAGCTTTGGCCTGGCTTGGCTTATAGATATTTGATTGATTTGCAAAGGAACCATTCAAATTTTCAAATTTCATGGGAATTTTTGTGTTTGTATTTTTTATTTATTTTTCTGTGTGACAATGTTATGATTCTTAAATAAGTTGGAAGGGTTTTGGCTGACCCACATTAGAAAATGTATCATTTGTTTTCTGGAGAATATTTGCTACATTATTACCCCACTTTTTATTTTCCACATGAATATGTAATGAGGAACTGATCAATTGCAGAGAGAAGAAGAAAAAAAATCTCAGAAAGGAAGTTCAGAGAAGTAAAAATCAATGGGGTTTACATTTGTTGAAATTTCCAATACATTTTGTTACCACAAATTAATTTTGATGTTATCCTAAGTCACAAAAGAATAAAACTCATCTCTATAGATTTTCTTGAAAGCCAACTCTCTTTTGTACTACTCTTATCCTGAGAGAAATACTAAGAGCTCTTAAGTACTCAAGAGCCCTTAAATATAATAATTGTCAGAAAGAAAAAGTTGGCATTTCATTTAGAATCATAGCAAGAATAATTTCTGAATTATCTTATCCATTGTAGGGCTATTCTTTATTTCCTCAAATATGAAAATTTAGAGAAGAAACCTCATTGTCTTTCATAACAAGATATTTTTATTTTAAAAAATATAGAATTAATATTTCATTGTTAACTCTCTTTTCTCTTAATGGCTACACATATTTAAAAAAAGTTTGTAAACTGTAAGGGCAGAAATTGTTTATCTTATTCCCTTCTAGTTTTTCTTGGCTGGCCTAATAATTAAATTGACATAAGACAGATTATCAGGAGGAAAATGATTTAATTTTATATGTACAGGAACCCCATAAAAATATAAAACCCAAAGAAGTAACAAAAAAGGCATCTTTTATAGCTTTAGACAAGGAAACAGTAAATTTGTGAAGAGTTGGGGGGAAAAAATTGTGTGGGGGGGTTTGGGCATCGAGTAGTAAATTACTGAAGAAGAAACAAGGTTTGTTTATAGCCTTCTAGGTCCTAAATTCCCTGTTTCTGGTGATAAGGATGTCTTTTACCTCTCCAGGTATAGGTAAATTACTTTTCACCTGGGAGACATATTTCCTGCTTTCAGGAGAGAAAAGGAGGGTCAGAGTATCTTTCCTGCATGGCTGTTTCTCAAGTAACGTTAATTCAAAATCATCAGCACGCCAGAGTGGCATATGTTAGAGTGGAATATTCTGTTCTCCTTCGAAACATTTCAATTACATGGGTTTGGATATAAAAAACACTTTCTGTATTTTCACATTC